TCATCCTGCCCCGCTGCCAGATGTGGAAAAATGGGTCCAGCAGGGTGCCTGCGGAAGGTCATAGGGCCAGGAAAACAGCGCATCAGGACTGTGAGGCTGGCATCCCAGCCCCGCCAGTTCCTACCTCCATGACCTCCGCTTCCGTGCGCTTCAGCGGCACAGCTCAGCTCACAGCACTGCTGACCATCACAAGGTCACGGGGTCACGCACAGAAAGGACCCGAGGGCTGCAGGTTGGGGCCCAGTGTTAAGCGTCCCTGAGCCTGGGGCTCCTGCACACAGTGACTGCACATCTGTGACGTCACACCAGTGTGGATGTCCAATGTTTTAACAAGCATGCCTTCAACTTGCCTCTGGCTCTTTGTAGAGGGACAAAGTTCCTTCCTGTTCATGTAAGGCAGCAAAGGGCCCTTGACTGCAGTAAGCTGTGTCTGCCCTACATCCTCCAGTTCAAATACTTCTTATCTCCCTTTGGTTTGGATCTTCTGTTATAGAAAAAGATGTTTAAAGACTCATTTGCCACTGGAACTGGAGTAAACACCAGCCCGGGATAAACAACAAGGTCCTACTGTACAGCACAGGGAACTATATTGAATATCCTGTGATAAACCATAATGAAAAAGAATGTCTATATGTGTATAACTGAGTCACTTGTCTGTACAGCAGAGATTGGCACAACACTGTAAATCAACTAGACTCCAATTAAAAAAGTTTTCTTAAAAAAGAAAGTTTTGGAAAGAAAAAAAAAAAAAGAAAGTTTTGGAATTAAAAACAAAAACACCAGCCTGGGCTTAGAACTATGGCCCCAGAAAGCAACATTTTTTCATCGTAACAGCCACACAACAGCCATGTACTGGCATTTGAAGGACATTGGACATTTGTAAACATTAACCAAGACACAGTGAACGCTACTGCATCTCAAACAGTGCCATCAGCAATGGCATTTTAAAATACAACTGAGCTGTGGGACAGTTCAACAATGAGGAAGTTCAAAAAATACTCAGGGGCTTCCCTGGTGGTGCAGTGGTTGAGAGTCCGCCTGCCGACGCAGGGGACACGGGTTCGTGCCCCGGTCCGGGAAGATCCCACATGCCGCGGAGCGGCTGGTCCCGTGAGCCATGGCTGCTGAGCCTGCGCGTCCGGAGCCTGTGCTCCGCAACGGGAGAGGCCACAACAGTGAGAGGCCCGCGTACCGCAAAAATAAATAAATAAATAAATAAAAACAACTCAGTAACTAGAGCCCAAGTCCCTGTTTGAAAAGGGGGAGGACGGGACAGCATTATTTAACTTGACACATTCGATTGTCAAAGAGCTTCAAGCTGATAGGAAAGACCCAAAACCACACAGGATGAGAAATACGAAATACAGTGACTTTCCAGAGAAACATATGAGTATTCTGTTTGCAATCTGAAATTAAAAAAGAATGTATGGTCTTTCCAGAACAGTGGTTAAGGGATGAGATTTGATACAGTTCGTGGTGTTAACTCAGGAGGAGTGTCCAACGGCAGCACCATGGACAGGGCTGTCCGGGGGTAGACCGGCCACGGTGGGCTGAGGCCTGAGCCCAGCTGGTTCTGGAATTCCAGGGCCCCCGCCCCTGGAGTGTGCATATGGGAATCACACAATTCGGGCCTTTCACCTGAGTTGTTTTTATTTGGTGGTTGAGTGTGCCATCTGATTTTTTCATCATTGTTAGTACATTCTTTAGTAAGTTAAAGAATTACTTCCAGAAAGGCTGTGTAAAAAGATCGAAGCGTCTACCTGGGCCGGTCACATTTTAACCACCGTGATCATTAACACTGCGGAGAGCTCATTTGCAGCTCAGCTGAGGACAAAGGGTGCACTTGAGGGCCTCAGAGTTTGGAGGTGCCTCGGAGGGATCTGGAAAGGTCTGTGGGTGCTCTCAGGCCAGGGGGGCAGCGGGAGGGATGGACAGAAGCAGAGGACTGTGCCGACAGGCCAGAGCCCATTTTCTGTGGTTGGGTTAAGAGATGCATGCACCGTGCATGCACCCAGGGTATGAGGATGGCTCCAAGGGGGCTGCAATTGGGAAGGGCTCCCTGGTCCCTGCCAGGTTGGACCTCTTGGAGCCCAGGGATTTGCCCTGGACTGAGACACAGAAAACTCTGCCACCTGCCCCCTCCCACATGGGCAGTCAGGACCCTCAACGCACTTCCTCTCAGGGACGGGGAAGGGGGCTCTTGTGACCCCTTCACCTGCACTTTGACAAGACAGAAAACTTAATTCTTTCAAGGTCATGCAGCCAGTGAGAGGCAGGGTGGATGGGTGGGGGGGGTAGGGGGGCGGCAGGGGAGAGCCCTCTGAGCCTTCTCCTGAGGGGGCACCACCCCCTGTACCCACAGTACCTGCAGCCCCCATGCACAGAGGCACCCTTATGTCCAGAATTAGGCCTCCATCTGCTTGCTTCACCTAACTATACACAAACTATAGAGTGGATCAGAATCACCTGCAGGACTTGCCAAAACTCAACTGTGGAACTCAAGCCTGTCCCAGAGCCTCTCATTCAGCAGGTCGGGGGCCAGGCCCAGCCTGGTGAAGCTGAGCCTGCTGGCTGAACCAGCCTTTCAGAAGCATGGTTCTGGGCCAGGGGTGTCTCAACCTCAGCTGCCATCACCTGAAGTCCATTTAAAAGTGGCAATGCCAGTGCTCTCAGACAGACAGACACACACACGCACACGCACGCACACACCAGCAAGGCAGTCAGAACTTGGTGGGCAAGGTGTTGTTTACAGCTCCCCAGGTACAGGCTGCTGAGACCCTGAGCTGGGAAGTGCTACTCTGCAAGGGCAATGATAAGGCACCCACTATTCTAGTTCCTCAACTGCCCAGGTGGAGAGCCCCAGGTCCCATACAGTAAAAGACCCTCAGCAGTTAGAATTTAAAATAAAAGTAGCGGACTCAAAGCCAGATGCCCTCCAGATGTGCCCATTCGCAGGTCTGCTGGGGGCCCAGAGGGTGATGTGATACTGTGATTAATAAGAAATATATATTTCGTCTTCATCTGTTCAAGGCACAGAGCTCCTAAAACCCTTGGAATTTCCCAAGTAATCAGTGATACAAGAGTGTCTTTGTTATTCATTAACAATCCCCTTTCAAGCATATCTGAGTTTGTTCGTGTGGTGACCTTTGGAAAGCAGCTGTGGATGGGGTCTGGTTGCCTGGGGAACTTTCAGTCTCCTCTGCATCCCCTGCCTTCAGGGAGGGGAGAGGGGCTGGAGTGCTTTGATCAACTATGCCTACGCCTGTATAATGGAACTTCCATAGATACCCAGAAGCACCGTGTTCAGGGAGCTTCCAGTGGGGGGGGGGAGAGTGGGCTCAGAGGGCTTGGGGGCCCTGTGCCCCTTCCCCATCCCCTGCCCTGTGCACCTCTTCATCTAGCTGTTCATTTATTACAAAAATAAACTGGTAATCTAGTGAGTAAACTGTTTTCCAGTTCTGTGAACCCCTCTTGCAAATGAACCGAATCTCTGATCTATAGCTGCTCCGTCAGAAGCACAGATGACAACCTGGGATGGTCAAGGGACGGGGGGTGGTCTTGTGGGACTGAGCCCTTAATCTGTGAGATCTCCAGGCAGATGGTGTCAGAATGGAGTTAAATCTGTGGGAGTCTGGCCAGTGTCCTCAGAGAACTGTGTTAATTGCTTGGTTGTGTGGGGAAAACACATGTACCAGAGATGGCCCACCATCCAGATTTGCCCAGACTTCAGGGTTTCCCGGGCTAAGGGACTTTGACGGTTAAAACCATGACATCCCTCGGGAGTTCCCTGCCGGTCCAGTGGTTAGGACTCCGCGCTTCCACGGGCTCATCCCTGGTTGGGGAACTAAGATCCTGCAAGCCACAGGCGTGCCCCTCCCCACCCACAAAAAATGGGATATTCCAGGGCCTCCCTGGTGGCGCAGTGGTTGAGAGTCCGCCTGCCGATGCAGGGGACGCAGGTTCGTGCCCCGGTCCGGGAAGATCCCACATGCTGCGGAGCGGCTGGGCCCGTGAGCCATGACCACTGAGCCTGCGCATCCGGAGTCTGTGCTCCACAACGGGAGAGGCCACAACAGTGAGAGGCCCGCGTACCGCAAAAAAAAAACAAAACAAAACCAGAAGGTGAATGTGGACACCGCCGAAGCTGGAGGGTGCGGCTCAGGACGTTTTTTCTGGTCCACGGGCTTGTGCTGCTGGAGGAAGAAGGGCACTCGTCTAGCTGGAGTTTTGGGGACCAAGGGGCATCAGGAGGGAATTGCACCCCAGTTGTAACAGAGGGAATATGGTCATTAAGTGTCTGTGGATGCGGATGCACAGGAAGGGCACGGGGACTGCACGCAGGGGACCCCAGAGGAAGGAGCCGTTTGGGGGACAGTATGAGACTCCATTGGATGTGCCTGTGCGACATGGCGGGGGGGGGTGGGGCGCGTCTGCAAGGGCTTGGGACCGGAGTGGGGACCTGCGGCCTGCAGACCACGTGTGAGGAGGGTCTCGCCTTCTGGGGGTCATGGAGGGAAGGGTCAAGGCTAGGAACGTGCACAGCCATCCACATTTACAAGGTGGGGAGACTGGATGACCTGCAGCCCAATGTTGTCTGCAAGTGATTCCATTTTGTTCAATTGGGTTTTAACATTTTGGAAAAATAGAGCCTGATTCTTCACCTAGGTGTGGGAGGATGCAGCACCACTAAGGTGACAGAAGGTTAACCTTTGGTTATTCTGTTTTAAACCCGCTTGTTTATGGACAGGGCAGGAAGGAGGGATGCCAGGGGCGCTAGAGTGATGGGCAACAGGCGGGAGCGCCCGTGGGCCTTAGTCACACTCCTCTCTTGGTGCGTGGATGGAGAGGCGTAAGAGGCCTTAGGTGGGATGAGGCGACACAGGACGAGACAGGACAGGGTGCTGACATCCAAGCAGCAGTGAGTGGGCTCGAGCAAGGAAGGCAGAGCTTCCCCCCTGCAGGGGACCAAGCAGCAGCGAAAGTTATCACCTGCGGGAGTGTACAGGGTGAGACGGTCACTTTTATTTTTGTAAACCTCGCTCTCAGTCCTGGACCACGTGCTTTTCTGTCTCAGTGGGCATCGTCTATCATTTTACACTGGCTGTGAGGCCACCCTCTGTGTACCTCCAGGAGGGCAGTGAGGGTCTCTGCTTCTGCCCACCGCTCTCTGCACAGAGACGGGCATAGGCAGTGCTCTGTAAGCGCACGTGCAGGCTCTTAACCACTGAGCCGCCAGGGAAGGCCCTGAACTGATGTGTTTTTAACAAAGAGTTATGCTGGGGTTTTAATAAAAAATTATACATTTTACGGAAAAAAATAAGGGGAAATACCATCTGAAACTATGTCTATGCACGTGAATGAATATTCACAAACATGCAGCCCGTGCTCACATCTGTGTGCGTCTCTCAGGTCTGTGTAACATGAGGAAAGAGTCAGCATTAGCAAGGCTGCAGAGAATGTTAACATACTGGAATAGAGCCCTTTCCTTGGGGACCCAGGACCGCCCCACCCTGACGGGCCCTCACGGGCCACACCCGCACCCAGACCCACACAGAGCCTGCGGGTTGGCAGACACGCACATGGCTAGGTGATCACGCTGGGACCTGCCACCTACTACCATCACACGGGATCACCTTGACCTCCAGGTCACCCCAGGAAACAGCCCGTGAGAAACACACTTATTTAAACTCTCTTCCACTCATCACCCAAGAGCGGGTGTAGACAGCCGAGAGCGTGACAGACGCCCACTTTCCCATCTTGCCTCGGCCCCGTTCAAGCTCTGCAGGGGGACCCCCTTTGCTGGGGCCGTCCCCTGTCTTCTGAAAGCTGCCTAGGAGGTGGGGCCGGGACAGGGACAGAGACGGGTTTGCACAGCCAACAGGTGAGGAAGGAGAAAAACAGAACCCTGAGCCACGGCCCAAAGTCTACACGGACCCTCGGAGTGTGTGAAGAGCAGTGGAGGTGGGGCACAGAGCCCGGCTCCCAGGGAAGCCCCTGCGGAAGGGTTATTAATTTTTTCTGTACACGTGATTGGGGGCAGCACGATCAATGGGGTGTAATTTTACACTCTGAGAAGTTCACATATAAATAAATCTGTGCCACCTTTCATCAGGCTGCTGTGTTAATTTTTACAAAGGACAACACACGTCTAACCTTACGGGACAACACACGTCTAACCTTACGGGGCAACACACGTCTAACCTTACGGGATGCGAGCAATTCCTTCTTCGAGTTGCTATCAAAAGTCACTCATGTCAGAAGGGGGAGGCTGGCCCTTCTGATGAGTCCTAGAATTATCTGGCCGCATCTGTCATTCTGGGGGCAGGAAAAACGGTGGACTTTCAGTTAGTGGTGAAGTTGTCAAGTGTCGTCAGCCAAGTCCACCGGGCGACGGGGTCACGGGCGGCCTGCTGGAGGGGACGTGGCGTGGGGTGCTCCCACCTGGGCGGTGCAGGAGGCCCCGTCTTCACCAAGCAGCCCTAACCCTCAGCAAACTTAGGGTTCATGACTGTCGTGGTGGCGCTCTTGAAAAGGGGGTTGTCCTGGTGAGAAAAGCAAGCGTGACTTGTCAGCGCAGGGAGGAAGGCGCTGGGCTCCGGGGACGAGCTGCGAGGGTGGGGGGAGGCAGGCTCGCGCTCCCGTGGGCGTGCCCTCGGCGCAGAGGGTGGAAGGCGCGCCTTTGCGGGGGCCCCGGGGCCACTCACGTTATTCCACTGGGACTTTAGCTTCTCCTTCTCGAAGCGCTTGTACTCCCTGAGGTCACTCAGGTGGGTCAGGACCTTCCAGATGCCCAGCAGGAGGATGCCGACGAGCACGACTCCTGCCACAGTGCTCCCCACGATGGCGGCGATGTTGGGGCCCTTCACGCACTCTAAGGCAAGGAGGCACACACACCGGGGCGTCAGGCCCGCCCCATCCCTGCACGGTGTCGGGGCTCCGCTGCTGGCTCTCAGCGACAGGTAGTGAGCAAACTGGCCCTGGCCCCAGCCCCGGCCCCCAGCCAGGGAGGGTACAGAGTTGGGCACAAGGCCAGGCCATGTGGTTCCAAATGAAATTGAGAGGCCCTTTGTTCACGGAGAAGGAAAGGGGGCCGAGGTGGCCAGTAAGTAACCAGGGCCAGACCCTGGCCTCCCACCTGGACAGCCAATGACCCAATCACCGGAACCTAGCCTAACCCACGTTGGATCACAGTGTAGGGGTGGGCACTCTCCTCGTAAAGGCATTCCCAGGGGAACCAATGGCAGCAGCCTTGGGAATGAGGAGGGTGGGGTCCCAGTGCCTGAGGGGCTGCACCCAGCCTCCCCCTGAGCTTGGGGGAGGGGAGGCTCTGGACTGCAGCATGCCCGCGCGGCGCCTGACCAAGGCACGATGTTCAGCGTGAGCCCGTCTGCCCGGCTCGTGGGCACTGGGGTTCACAGGCACTCCCCCCGCACCATCCTGGCCTCTCCAGGGAACCTCCCTCCCTCACAGAAGTGGAACAACTTAGCCAGCACGCGCAAAGCCAGACCTGACCCCACACGTGCCTGTTAAAACACCCGGGGACAGCTGTCTGCACCAGCAGGCTGGGCTCCGCCGCCCTGGTAACAGACTAAGGGCTTGGGCCCTATCTGCCTTCCTGGGGGTCCTGTCGTGGGGAGGGGAGCCGAGAGCAGGTCTCAGTCCTGCAAGGTCCCCGGGGTGGGCTGCTGTCCCACGTCTGCTGCACTCACCCCAGAGGCCGGCCTCGCGGCCTGTGCCCCACCCCCGCAGCCTTTCTGAGCAGTAAAGGGGCGGGGGTACCGAGAGCTGGTGTGTCCACACGGCTCCCTGTGCTGCTGCTGTAACCCTCAAGCCCATCCCCTCGTGGGTGTGTGGCTCTAACTCCCCGCGTCCCACACACGCTTTGCCATTGTCCACTCAGCCTACCTCCTCGACACTGACCTACTCTCCGTCCCCACTTGTTGCCCTCCCTCCTGATCCCACCCAGAGTTCCATCCAAGGGCAGGCTCTGTCCACGCCGCCCCCAGGACCCCAACCCAGCCCTGCTCAGTGCCCGGACTGGGCAGTAGCCCTTCCCAGGTCTGCGCCCGGCCTGTGAGAGCACAGCGCACTCCTCTGAAAACCGGCTGGCCCTCTGGTGTGTCTGGGAAGAGACGTAAGTCCAACCCCTCCCACCCCACCCCTGCCCCAGCCCCCGGCCTCACGGGGGCCCAGTAAGAGCCCAGCCCAGCACCTCTGACCCTCTCATCCCCTGGTCTCAGCTGCAAGCGTCCTCCTCAGAGAGACCTTCTGACCTCTGAGACACGCCCCGCCGGCGTCTTTACCCCTGGGAACCGGTTCATGTGTCCCCACCCCGTGTCCCGGGAACCTGTGAAGACAGAGTCAGCCTCTGGGTCCCTGGCGAGCCGGGCGGCGGCACCTGGGGAAGCCGGCTCCGGCTCCGCGGGCCGCTCCAGGGCCAGGGCCGGATGTGGGTCCGGCGGCCCCCATGGTCCCCCGGGCCGGCTCTCGGGGCTTGCGCTCCAGGCCGTGCTCAGCGCCAGCGCTCCGGGCAGCGACCCTGCGGGACAGCCGGCCGCCCCGGAGCAGGGCGCACAGCGGGCGGGCTGAGCGGTGCGGGGACCGGTCCTGACCCCACCCGCCCGGGCTCACCGCGCGTGTCGTTCACGTGCACGTCGTATCTGTCCCGCCCCTCGCGCTGCAACAGGGTGTAGGTCATCCAGCAGCCCTCGGAGTCGCGCTCCTTGCACGTGCGGCCGGGCAGTGGCTTGGACAGCAGCTTCGTCTCCCCACACGCTGTGCTGCAGTTCTTGGCGAAGGGGCCCTGGTCGAACTTCAGACACTCGGCGCAGTTGCTGCGGGCGAGGCGCGGCGTGACCGCGGGCAGGAGGGGCGGGGGCGCGGGCCGCCCGGAGCTGCGGGGCCGTCCTCAGCGCCCCGCGCCCCGGGTCCGGCCTGACGGCTGTTCTCCCGGGCCACGGAGGCGCGAGGCGGGCGGGGCGGTGGGATACTCACGCGTAGCGGGCGCAGGGTGCGGGGCAGCCTGGGCACTCGAGGCACAGGGGCGGCTGGTAGCCGGGGTCGCACTGGCACACGTTGCAGCGGCACCGGCCGCGGCCGCTGCACTCGACGCCATCCAGGTTGAGGCAGCCCTTCGTAGACTTGAGGCACTGGCACGCCGAGCCCTCGTGGCCGTCGTGGCACCTGCAGGTGCCGCAGAAGCAGAGCCCTCGCTCTGGAAGACAGGGGCCCCCGCAGACTCAGCCCCCCCCGAGCCCCCGCCCCAGCCCCGCTCCGCACCCGCCCCCCCCCCCCCCCCCGCCGCAGGGGCGGCTGAGGCTCCACAGGTTGGTCTGTCCCCCGCGCTCACTCTCGCCCCCGCAGACTTGGCCGTCGTAGCGCTCGCAGTTGACGTTGTCACACTCGCAGAACTGGCCGTAGATCTTCTTGTTGGGCACATCGCTCGTGTGGCACACGCACTGCCCGCAGATGCAGTCCCCCAGCCCCGAGCAGATGATGGAGCCGTTGTCCTTCCGGCAGCTTCCCTCCAGCTCCTGGCTGCTCCGGCCCTGCGTCTGGCACTCGCAGTTCTTCCCCATGTAGCCGGCGTCGCACCTGCATGGGGGATGTGGGGTCAGGGACCTCCCGCGCCGGCTCTGCCGCGGTGCGCCTGCTTGGGAGGTGGGGCCGCGGCCTCACCTGCAGACTCCGCACTCCATGGAGCCCCTGCCGCCGCAGAGGCTGTGGTCCCGGCTCGCGTCCCGGCACCGGCACTTGCACTGGGGGAGGACCCGCACAGTCACCGTGTCCGTGAAGCCCAGCGCCCGGATGACGAATGACTGCTCCTGGATGCACTCTGTGGCTGTGACCTTCACCTGGAAGGTGATCTGTAATGGGAAAGCAGGGCTCAGGTGAACATTGGACCCCGGGCACACAACCCTGCTCCCACCTCCTCCCTGGGCAACGTGGACAAGGGCACGGCCTAGCAGGGTGAGGGTCAGCGTCCTGGGCTCCCAAGCACGGAGGGGACCGCCTCTGCTGGGCCCCGGGGGAGTGCATGTTGGTGGGGGGAGGGAAGGACATGGACGCTCCAGGTGGCTCCAGCACTTGGGAGGGGAGATGAGGGAAGAGAGGATGAGAGTTGGAAACTCAGAGTCAGAGATGCTGGAACATGTCCCCCAGCCCTCCCGCAGCTCCCACACCCACCATCCTCTGGTGGCCTGGACTTGGGCAGGGATGTCTTTAGAATACTTTTTTTTTTTTTTTTGCGGTACGCGGGCCTCTCACTGTTGTGGCCTCTCCCGTTGCAGAGCACAGGCTCCAGATGCGCAGGCTCAGCGGCCATGGCTCACGGGCCCAGCTGCTCCGCGGCATGTTTGATCTTCCCAGACCGGGGCATGAACCCGTGTCCCCTGCATCGGCAGGCGGACTCTCAACCACTGCGCCACCAGGGAAGCCCTAGAATACTTTTAATCTCACATCCCTTTAAAAGAATTTTAGAGTGACTCTGTAAATGATGTATATTTTCTCCATGTATTCTGTCCTGAAGCCTGGAGGCTAAGGTACCAAAATCGCACAGGAAGTCCTAGGTTCTGCATGTGGGGTTGTATTCTGACCCCGAATGCCCAAGGGGAACCGAGTGGGCAGGGCAAAGTTCCTGCCACTCACACAGCACTGCTGCTCAGCCAGCACTGAGCTTCAGGGGGCACCAGCTCGGCCATGGCAAGCCTCACTGCAAATCAAGGTGAGTGAATCTCCAACCCGTACGTGAAGACAGAGCAGAGACATCAGGGAAGTAAGCAATCAGTCACAAGATTGAATAAATTCCTGTCTGGATCACCCCGTATGAGGGGGATACATTTCACTAAAAAGTCACACACGTTTAGTAAGTCACATAGTTGAAAGAATTCCGATGTCGTTTAGAAATAAAAGCAAATATTTTGCTGAATATGAATTCACAGCTGGAGAAAGGAAAAGTTTAATTGTTTTGGTCACGACAAATTAAAAATATCAGGGACATAACTCAGTGCCTGTTTATAATCATTTGTGTGGCCCCTGCTTTAATGTGTTTGTCAAAAAACAAAAACACAAAAATCAAGAAAATCAAAGCAAAGCAGATGCCCCGTGTAGAAGGAACGCCCTTCTTAGGCGGGTGGCGCTGTACCCGGCATCTGCCCCCAAGGGGCGCTGCCGTCCTCGCGGCGGTCGGTGTACACCGGGCCGCGAACAGTGTGTGTGGATTTTCAAGGGAAGGAACTGGACCCGCGGTGGACTGGACCCCGCCTCTTGCTGGTCCCTGTGAAGCCGTGTGCCGGGGTGCACCCTCCCTCGCTGTCCCTGGGGGAGCCCCTTCCAGAGGCCGGGAGGGAGCCTCACCGGCACGTTGATCTGGACGCCGTCGCAGTCCCCTCTGGGCTGGTCCACCTTCGATACCCCGTTACTGCAGAAGGAGTCGTAGGTGACTTTCAGGGTGTCAGGGAGTGTGTTGTGATCCAGAAAGACTCTGGAGGACAGTTTCTGTGGGCAAAGAGCACCGTGATCAGGCTCATCCCGCTGTCCCCGGCCCTTCCCGCCCCTTCCCGGCCGATGGCCGGCACGCCTCTCATCCCCCTCCCTCCACCCGTGTGTCCACTGAGAGCTCCACGGGTGCCGGGTCCTGCACCCCATGCCGCTGGTGGCAGGGTTATCCATGCCACCCCCCCCCGAGACAGGCCAGTGGAAGGGACAGACGTGGAGACAGGTCACAGCCCTGCAAGAATGGGAGCTTGACCGTCCACCCACCACTGAAACCCCAGTGCGTGGCACAGGGTGGGAGCTGGAAAAACTGTCTAAGTGAATGAGAGAGAGCGAGACAGACCGTCAGACAGGAAGAGAGACAGAGAAACAGAGATAGAGAGAGACAGAGAGGTGAATGAGCCACTCACTGAAGGTGGCATCGTCGGTGCAAAGACAGAGCTGCCCCATGGGCAGCATCTGGAGTTTGGGAGGGCCTGCTCGGGGTGGGGGGTGGCTAGGGCTCCAGGAGGGTACGAGCAGCAAACGGAGCTGCCTCAGTGGGGCTCTGACTCAATGCAGTGTCATAAGTGCTTACTGGGTGCCCCCAGCGAGCTGTGCTCGCGAGGCCAGCAGACCCTTTGGCTGGAAGAGGGCCTGATGCCTGTGTCCCAGGGGAGGCACGGAGGGCCTGGGGTGGCACCTACCACACCATCAACGAGGAGGACAGCTGCCCTGGGGAAGTGCCCGAGGATGGCCCACAGAACGCAGGGGCTCTCCTCTCCAGACCATCCTCCTGCTGGCCTGCAGCACGGCGTCTTGGCTGACTACCCGGGGGACACTTACATTGTAGGCGTTCTTAATAAGCTGGACTACGTTGCTGGAGTCGTCTGACAGCTCCCCGACTGCAGACTTGGGGATGATCTCCGTGAGCTTCTGTCAGGGAAGAAGACAGGTGGGCGTGGCCAGAACCCTGGTACCAGGACACCTCAGCATCCACCCAGTTTTGTAATAACACCCCAGAGGGTTTCCTTCCTGCTTGTGAGCTGGCTCAGACAACCCTGCCCCTGACTTCTTACTGTATTTAGGTAACACAGCACGTGGTCCAGTGTTGTGCAGGCAAACGTTTAACCACTGGCTCTCAGGAAGCACACCCTGAATTGCAGCGTTTGCCGATTTCCTCAGTAGAAATGCCCCACCCTTGTTGATTTCCCAGCACTGAAGGCAGAGCCGGGAAAGTGTGCCTTGCCACGGTGAGATGCCACCCCAGGGACTTCCCTGGCGGTCCAGTGGTTAAGAATCTGCCTTCCAATGCAAGGCACACGGGTTCACTCCCTGGTCGGGGAACTAAGATCCCACACGCCACAGGGCAACTAAGCCCGCGTGCCACAACTAGAGAGCCCACGCTGCAACGAAAGATCCCACGTGCCTCAAGATCTGACACAGCCAAATTAAATAAATAAATAAATAAGTCTATTAAAAAAAAGAAGATGCCACTCCATCACGCAGATGTGATAGGCACAAACAACCCAAGGGCACAGGTAATTGTGAAATGTGGCACAAAACCAGGAAGCGATGTGTTCTGAGCGTGTGAGCTGACATAATCTAACTTTCACAATGGCTGTGTGTTAAACAACATTGTGGCAATTGGGTCTGGCAGGCGGGGCCGGCTGGTCCAGTGGCACCTCTGGGGTGGGCAGGCCGGAGGCCGAGGTCATGCAGACAAGCCTGGGGCAGCCTCCAGGGAACATCTGTGTCCCCTGCCACCCTTAGCTTAGCCCATCTTTCACGGGAAATTGTACCATCACTTTATCTTGCAGAACCAAGGGTGGGTCACGTCCCTGCCACAAAGCCCTGCTGTGACGCCCCAGAATGGAGTCCAGGCTCCTCCACAAAGCTCATAAGGACACACAGCCTCGCCACCCCACCTCCGGCCTCTGCCACCCTCTTCTCTCCTCCTCAGCCTCGGGACCCCGCCAGGGCTCGGAGACACCCCTGGCCACCTGCTCTCCATTCGGTGCAGAAGCACATACTGAGGAGGGTCCACCGTAAGCTGCCCATACAGACTCGGGCCTCCTTGACCCCTACTCGCTAGGAGTCCCGGGAATGGGGTCAGGAAGCTAAGGCTCAGAAAGGCCTGTGACCTGCCCAGGGCCTGGGGTCCGAGTCTCCCGTCTCCAGCTTCTACCCCATCACCACACTGCCTTCTGGGACACGACCCCTGCACCTAATAGCAAATCACTGGGACCTGCTACCACCTGGCGAGGAGGAGACTGTCGCGTCCCGTAACACGGTCAGGGACACGGCAGCTGCGAGGCCCTGACTTGCCAGCGCTCGGGCAGCTCATGTGGGCGGGTGGTCTCTCAGCGGCACCCGGCCACCAGCCTTGCTGTCCTTGTGGCTTGGCCAACGCCCACTGCCAGCCCCCGGGGGGTCTTCCGGACACCCGCCCCTCCTCCCTCGGCATCCCCTGGGAACGCTGATGGCAGGCGCGGCTGGCCCCACTGGCAAACACCCCACACAGGCACAGCAGGCCACAGGCCTCAGCAGGAAGGGGACCAGGACTTAGGGAAGGACAGGGGCCGGGAGGCGCTCCCAGCCCATCGCAGCCAGAGGCCACCACGCTGAGCCCGGCAGATGAGAGCAGGGCAACTAAAACAGCCCCACAGTGACTGGGAGAAGGAGGAGGGATGAGAAACGCTCTACGACAAAGAAACTTCCCCACGAGAATTCCATGCTACAGAAAAATTTAGTAAGAACAGCAATTCAGAAAAGTCAGGACAGACCCAGGTCTCCTGAGCCGGGAAGGAAGTGCTGTCACAGCTGCTGGGGGGCCCGGGCGCCTGCTGGTTATGGGGGTGTTTTCCTCGCAACACTGAGCCGTGCGCTTGGGATTCCAGAGCCCTCCTGCGTACACCTTACACTGCGTGAACAGTGCTGACGTGCAAACGTATGTGGACGCAAAACAAGGAACTTTCCCTGACATGAAGAATGGGGTCTGCAGACCCAAAGGGTTTCGTTGAGGCAAAACCACGATTACTGAAGTGCAAGGACTTGTCAGTGTCATGCGGCCTCAAGAGGTCTCAGCTCCTGAGCAGCAGCGCTCACCCCCCGAAACGCGGGGCCGCCGCGTGGCCACAGCCCACGCACCCAGTACAGAAGCAGAACTCAGGCTGCGGTCACCCTGGATTTGGTCACCATTCGGTTGCGACGCCTCTTCCTGCCGGATTGCTCAAGCCCACTTACCTCGTACGTTGCCACCATTCTCTTGGTCACAGCAAAGATGGGCTGGATGTTGCTTTCTGCCAGTTTGTGCGCCAGCTGGCCCACCGATGGGTAGTCCTAGAGAGGGGACCCCCGATCAGATGGCTCCCAAGGCTGGGGACAAGCCATCCAAGCTGCCTGTCTGCTCCTGTCGGCAGAAGTGACGGCCCAGGGCGCAGAGGCTCCGCCTGCCTCCTGCTGTGATGGGGCCGTTCCCAGTGACGTTCACAAATGCTCGCAAACACGTAAGATGATGGGATTAGGAGGGAAACTGACAATATTGAAATATACTCAAGAAAATATTAAAAGCTGAGAAGTGCTTCCTGATCAATGCACTAAAAAAGAAATCCAGTGGCAAGTAACCGCTCCCAGACACTCAAAGCGGAGGAGTGGTGAGCAGCGTTTTGCGGCGTCCGCACTGTGGGGCGCTGGCGAGACGCCTCTGACTTCTCCTGGAGGCGACATCTCAGACGCTGCCCCCAGCACAGTGGCACCTATTTTCACAACCTCAAGATGTGCGCAATTTCGGGCAGAGGCTCACCGGAGCCTCAGATGTCACATCTGTCCTGTCCCAGTCGGTGGGCCCCTGAGAGCTGCCACCAACACCCACCTCGAGTCTGCAGACTGCAGGTGGAGGACCCCAAGGGTCACATCTCTAAAGTCCTCTGCAGTGCCTGGGCTTTACGATTCCAGGGTGCCGAGCATCATCTCACAGCAGCCCTGGACCAGAGAATTCTGACCTCTTGGTGCCATTCAAGTGCTTCCCCCAGAGCGAGGGCCCCCCCCCCCCCCCCTCGCCCCCCGGGCGGCGGGGGGCCCCCCCCCCCCCCCCCCGCCCCCCAAGACACCGCCGCACTCACGAATTCGTTGCTGCTTTTATACATGTTGTCCTCCAGGTGGCAGCGGCCGTCGTTGGGAGTGAGGATGGCGCCCAGCTTCCCGTCTCCCGCAAAGTGGAAGCCGTCATCCGTGGCAAACACCAGCAGTCTGGTGACGTTGCGCCAGCCGATCTCCTCCTGACAAGGAGAGGACAGGGTGACCTGCCTCAGCTTCCCCAGACTGGGGGGGCCAAGGCAGAGCTTGCCGTGCTGGCCTCGGGGCTGTGTGCTCCCCACTCCTGGGTTTTCTGGGGGGGGCAGGAGGACCAGAGACAGGGCCCAGCGCCCAGGGGGGCCCGAGAAGTGTCTGTGGGACGACCAGCTCCCAGATGCCCAGGTGAATATGCGTGGGACACCGAAGGGACAGGAATGCATGTTTACATTTGCATACTCTGTGGCCCAGTCAGCTCGGACCTGGGACCACCTCCTAAGGGGACACTCCCAAAGAAGAAAAAGTACTTAGAAATGTTTATCTCACTGCAAACGCAGAGGAAGGAGCCCACGGACACCGTGATGAGGGGGTGACAGAGCCAGGGCACACGCGCATCGTGAACCGTGACATCACACAAAAATGAAAACGTGTGTCTGCGATGCAGGATGGTGCTCCCAGGGAGCAGAGAGGCTGGAGGACTGGGGTCCGGTCTGTGAAGGTGGCAGGACTGCGTGGCTAAACACGGGTCGATGTGTTGCAACACATCACAATACAGCGGCAGGACAGGACCATGTGGCGGGGGGTCAGCAGGGGGCAGGGGACGGCCGGCACCGACACTTAAGCCACATGACTGTCGGGGAGCCTGGCCAGGACACCCTCTGTTCCTTGAGGGGCACTGGAAGTAGGAGTGATTCTACTGCAGGAACCGCCAGGGTTAGGTGGCTCAGGGGTCTTCCTTAACAGGATCATTTCCTTGTATTTAGGCTTCAGAAGGTTTGCACAGGGTCACAAGCTGCTAATAGTGGAATCTGTGGGTGTCGTGACGGAGGCCCCCAGGTCTGGAGAAATCAGGGCAGGCAGGGGCCTCACCGGGCACGCGGCGACTTGCATCATGGCGTCCAGTCCACCCTCGGGGGCGTCCAGGTTTCCCGAGATCAGCTGCTTCCCGACCTCTGTCTGGAACTGGTTGGAGTTGTCGGTGAGTTTCAGCACATGCCGAAAGGCGAACGGGGCCTGGCACTCCTTCTCCTTGTTGGGGCACGGGTTCCGCAGCTTCTCGGGGTGCGTGTTGACAAAGGGGAGCACCGTCTTGTCCACGAAGGACCCGAAGCCTAGGGGTCGGGCAGGCTGTGAGCCCCGGCTTCCCCACCTCATGCCAGAGGGCAGCGGGGGGGGGGGGGGGGGGCGGGGGGCGGGGAGGAAGCAAGGTGGCTCTTGGGGGGTTGCACCAGGGACACTAGGTCTGGAGCCCTGGTGCCCTGCCCTCGGGACGTGGGGGCACAGAGGTGCCCAGGGTGGGGGCCTGGGGGGTGTGCAGGCAGCAGGCTGGCTGGGGCTCAGGGGAGGAGGGAGCGGGCAGCTCACCGATGCGGCCGGACTCGGTGATCTCGTTGAGGGCCCGGAGCAGGTCGCCCCCCAGCTTCTTGACGTTGATGAGGTCGTCCAGCATGGAGTATGAGAGGTCCATCAGGTAGTAGAGGTCGATGGGGTAGCCCTTGGCCCGCTGGAAGGTCACGTTGAACACAGCCGCCTGACCTGTGGGATTTGGGAATCGCGGGAGAGTGAACGCCACCTCATCTAGCGGGGCTCAGGGGCACTGGTGCCCCCTGCAGGCCTCGGGACTCTCATGACCCCCACTCTGTGAGGCCTGCAGGTAAAATGCAGGGCGCCTACTCAGATTCGAATTTCAGATAAAGAGCACACTCCCAAATAGAAGACTATTTGGGCACAGAGATACTGAAAAGTGTTCGTTGTTTATCTGGCATTGTTGCAATTCAGATCCACCTGGATCTCCCTCGATCTCCCCGGCAAGGCCTTCTCTACCACCAGCCAGCAAGCAAATCCGTCCCGTCCCAGCACGGGCTCCCTGGCCACCCTGGGGATACCCCCCTTCCTCAACCACATCCCCCTGGCTTCTGCGCTTCGCCATCTTAATCACCACGTGTACCTGTAATTACTTGTCTATCTGTCAGTACGAATAGCCTGTGTCCCCAGCTCCCAGGATGGTGCCTAGCACACAGCTGGTGCTGGACAAAGACGTGAGGACTCGAACTCCGAACCGAGTCCCCTCTGCCTGGCCCATCTTCCAGCACCAGCTCCCACGTGTGGCCGCCCCAGCCCTGCCCAGGCCCGCCCGCCACATCCCTCGCTGCTCCACCACGCCGCCTTCCTGAAGGGCGTTTCTCGGAGTGCTAACAGGGAGCCATGTCCTGAACCTGGGTCAGTGGTCAAGTCAGGTGGGCAGCACTGATTTAAATGGTTACTGGGGTTCCTTGGCTGCAGGACTTGTCAGAGCCTTTACTTTGCCAAGAGTACCTGGCCTTCTGAGAGTGTGACAAATGAGTGCTTTCCAGATGGTTTGTTCTCCCTTGTAAAAAGGACACAGAACTCAGGGTTAAAAGAGAGACTGGGGGGTTCCCTGGTGGCGCAGTGGTTGAGAGTCCGCCTGCCGATGCAGGGGACGCAGGATCGTGCCCCGGTCCGGGAAGATCCCACAGGCCGCAGAGCTGCTGGGCCCGTGAGCCATGGCCGCTGAGCCTGCGCGTCCGGAGCCTGTGCTCCGCAACGGGAGAGGTCACAACAGTGAGAGGCCCGCGTACCACAAAAAAAAAAAAAGAGAGACTAGGCACCAGCCGCAGACGGGGTTCTTGGGGGCACCCTCCCCGGGGCAGAGAGAAGAGCTCAGACTGGTTCCCAGCAGTCCCAGGGCCTCGCCCAGCCCACCTGGCTGTCTGACCTGGACACATGGGATACGCGGCCATCAGGGGCTGGCTCACCCCCAGCCGAGGCCAAGCCTACCTGGTCTCAGGTAGAGCGTCACTTTCTGTGGGGACAGCTGCTTCTGGCCCCCCACCTGGTCCTCCTGGGTCGTGGCGTGGCTCCTGGGGTCGATGATGTCATCCGCCGCGCAGCCCTTTGACAGCAGCTGCTCCCGCGTGTCACAGCGAGTGGAGTCAGGCTCCCCTTGCCCCGTGAAGTTCTGGAGGAGCCAGGGGTCAGGGGTCAGGGGCAGAGAAAAGATGGGAGCCCACACTGTGGGTGCTGTGCGAAGCTGACCCCCTCATGTGCACCGGATTCAGGTCTGGAGTCCCGGTGGCAGCGGGACGAGGCAGGGGCTGGGCGGCCTCCAGAGGGCCTGTTCACGAGGCTTCGCATCCCAGGAGAGCCCGCGAGCGGGCAGAGGCGACTCAAGAACCAACGGCTCCAGCCCCAGGTGGAGCCACGGGGACTCTCCGCGGCCCACGGAGCACCTGGCCCAGGGTTTTCAGGCCCTTGGGCAGCGTCAGCAGCACCGGACGAAGGAGGGAGTGGTTCCCTCCCAAGGGGACGCGAGCGCCCCCTCGTGGCCCACGTGTTAGCCCCCAGGCACCACGCGGATCCGGAATACGGGCCAGTGCTCTGGGCCAGGCAGCTCAGAAGGAAACAGGCCGGAGGGGAGCGTGGGGGTCCTGGGTCTTCCCTCGTGACCACTGTGCCCCCACGAAGGGCCCCTGGATGTGGACACGGCAGGGAGAGAGAAGCGGCCACATTCGGAGGGTCCTGCTCTCGGCTTCCTCCGACCAAAGGAGGCTCGGAAGAGCAACCGCCGGCAGGAGACCAGGCAGGTGCAGGGGGCGTGCCCAGCGCCGGGGCGGGGCCAGCAGAGGGGCGGTGCTTCCTGAGCTGCCTCTGAACTGTCCTCGCTTTTGGAACCCTATTAATGCTTTAAGTACTCGAGAAAGAAAATTAACAGGAATGGAGAGGGAAGAAACCCCTAAAATGGAATCCACTGGGAAACAATTGAACCCGACTGCATTTCAAATGCATATGATAAACTCAGGAAAGGGAAGGGAGGAATTCACCCTGAGGACGGACTTTTTAAGCCGGCACTATGACCGCACCCCAACAAGAGGAGACAACACAGACCACACCCGATTTCCCCCCTGCAGTGCTGCGGGTAGCAACTCTGTAACCACTTTCTGTGAATCGTAGGATTCAGAAAATGGGGAAGTGTATTGCGGATGCTGGGAGGCTGGCTTCTCATGAAGGGGAACCAGGAACCCTCAGAGAAATGTCTGAGTCCCTAGTGCGGGCGAGGAAAGTGCAGACGGGCCTGGAGCTCTGCCGATCCCAGAGAGTAAGAGAGCTCAGGAAGTGATCCTGGGGCGTGCTAACTGGACACAGGGCCAGCCTGGGGGCTCCCAAAGTCCAAACAGGGAACACTTCGAGCTTCAAAATGGCAAAATGAAAGTGATAGCTTATAAGCTACTGAATAAAATAAACATCTACGGGTTTACACCGATGAGAGAGACAGAGAGAGGGAGGTTGGGGGAAGGAAAAATTCCTCCCTACATTAGAAGCCATTAGAAGGAGTAATGAACAGGAATGTCACCATTTTGCAACCAGCCCAGTGAGAACTGATTCAGGCAGCCAACACCAACAGATGCTCAAGTTAGTGGGTGTAAGCCTGATGGGAAGCAGAGTATTTCCTGGCCTCGGAGTGTCTCCCCACAAATTACTTACTATTGCAAAAGGGAAATAGTGATGTCATGGTGGAGAGCCTGGCAGCCGCCACCTCAGCTGAGTGGTCCAGGCTGCACCCCTAGTATCAGGACGAAGTGACAACAGGAGCCCTGCATGGGGTTCCTGCCAAAACGCACACCCTGGGCTGAATCAGAGGGAAGGCCAGACAAACCCATAGGAGGGGCATTCTGCAAAACTGCTGTCGTGAACTCCTCAGAAATGGCAAGGAGGCGAAAGACAAAGAAAGCTGACGAATGTTCCAGATTCCAGGAGATAAAGAGACATTTGAATGCAATGTGTGGTCCTGGATTATAATATTGACCGGTGGGGTGGGTGTGGAGTAGGGGGGGAGGGGGGATGACATCAAAGACATTATTGGAACAATCGGAAAAATTTGCACAAAGTGTGTAAATTTGATCAGAGTAAAGTACCGTGTTAAATTTCCAATCTTTGATAAATGCATTGTGGTTTTGTAAGTGAGTACCTTGTTCTCGGCAAAGTCCCTGGAAATATTAAGGGACAAAGGGGTTTGTGTCTGCAACCTACCCTCAAACAACTGAGAAAAAAAAATATGTGTGCATGTGTGTTTCCAAACAGACCTGTGGTGTCAGAACCTCAGGGACCCCCATGAGGAGGGCGTGGTCAGCATCTGGGGGTCCCTAGGGAAGGGGTCCTCCCCAGGAGGAGGTGGAGCTACCCCACGGCCGTCTTGGGCCTTTGCCTTTCTTCCCAGAGGGTCTCACAAGTTAAATATGAAGTAACTAAGGACAGCAGAGGGTTAGGTTTCCAGCAGGGAACTCCCCCAGTGCTCCGTGTTCTGGGAGCGGACAGCGGGGCACACGGGCGGGCGGCAGCAGCTGCAAGCATCTCTGCCTTGTCTCTGGCCGGGGCTCCTGCCTCTGGGGCTCGGGCGGCACCTGTCCAGACCCAGCGGTTTCACTCCCCGGTCTGCCTCCGCCAGGCTGCCTGGGGACATGCTGAGTCTGCCTGTCTGTCTCTGATGGCACCGTGTCCCTGGGCTGCTTCTGCTCCACTAGAAAGCAGAGTGCTGACACTCCTGGAGGCAGCAGTTCCAGAGGCAGAGAAGAAGGTCCAGCCCGGGAGGAGGGAAGGGCGGAGGGCAGGCCAGGCGCGAGGCCCCTCGGGGCGGCTGACAGCGCTCAGTGAGGCTCTTACCAGCTTCTGGCACCAGGCGCAGCCAGGCCCCGACTCGACGCAGTCCCGGCAGGTGCTGACCCTGTACTTGGTGCACTCCTGGGACAGGACTAGGGGAGAGGAGACAGGCTGGGGGGCGTAGCCTGTGGCAGGCACTGGCCGACCCCCACAGAGACAGCAGGCCCTCCAGGGACCGGGGGTGTGAATGGGGTGGTGGAGAAGAAGGGGCAGCGGCAGGACCAGGAGGGAGGGAGGAGACCAGGGCCCCAGGGGAAGCGGCCTCCAGGAGGGTGGGCCCCACGGTGGGCGGGGGAATGGAGGAGGGCGGCAGAGCAGGGCCCTTCCTGAGCCTCCACCAGGGGACTTGGGGGCAGGAGGGTGCCAGGGCGGGTCCCATTCCTCCCATGAGGAGCTACCCCCGCGGGACTCACCGGATCGAAGGGCGAGCAGGCTCCCCAGGAGCAGCAGCTGGGGGCGCTGGCACAGCATGTCCTGTGGAGGAGAGGGGGCGGTGACAGGGCCTGGGACCCCAGACCCTGGGCCTAGAGATGCAACGCTGGGCGGGCCGTCCCTGCTGCCGAGGGGTGCTCAGCGCTGGGGCGTAGCCCGCACGGGTCAGTCTCCCCGACCACCCTCAACGGGGCTGTGCAGGCCAGCGGGAGAGGAGGGCTGAGTGGGGCTGCGTGCGCTCTATGCAGCTGAGCCCCCAGCCCCCAAGGACCAGCAGGGAGTGGGCCTCCTGACAGTGACACATGCACACATGCTCACACGCACACGTACACACTCACCACGCGTGTGCACACACACGCGCGCCCAAGGTGCCGCGCCCTCCGGGTCAGGGCCCCGCGTGGCCTGCGTGGCCTTCGTGGCCCCGAGTCCTCAGTGAATTGAGCTGAGCTTGGAGCAGAGACTCGGCTGGCCCAGGCCTCCTGGGAGGAGGGTGAACCAGGACTTGGAAGAGAAGCCAACTCTGAGCACCTACCGGCGCCAGGACTGTGCCAGCTGCCCGCTGGGCGAGGATGTGTAATCGGGCAGGACATCTGGGGCCTGCCTGGGACAGACCCCTCCCCCCACATCTTCTGCCTGCCTCTTGTCTGTAGAAAAGCTTAGTCTCCCAGGCCTCCCCTGACTCACAAAAGCCTGGCTGGAGAATTAACGATTGAAAGGATGTGAACACTCGTGACAAAAGTAGCAGTTGGGCCAGGAGAACTGGTAAGAATTTAAACAGTAAATCAGCCATACGGCAGTCACAGAATCTTTGGTTCCTCCTTGAAGTACCTAGATAACGAACAAACGGTATCTGATGCACAGATCCTATGCTGTTTTACAGATGCTAGAACCCCTACCAAATGGAAGAAGTTAATTGCACAATGACCATGAACGTGTAGCCCCCAGACCTACTGGAGCCTAAGGATTGATAACTTGAACCTCTGAGACCCTGCCTTGTTACCTCACCATCAGCCAATCAAAGAACTGTGCACAAGCTGATCGCATACCCTGCGACCCCCCCTCCCTCACCTGGCCTTTAAAAACGCTTTGCCGAAACCCTTTGGGGAGCTCGGGGTTTTCTGGGCCTGAGCTACCCGTCTCCTTGCTCGGCCCTGCAATAAACCTTTCTCTGCTCCAAACTCCGCTCTTTCGGTTTGTTTGGCCTCACCGTGCATCAGGCATTGGAACTTGGGCTGTTTGACAACAGAAGGGCCCGCAGAGCCATCACCTGCTGTGCCCGAGGCCACGAGCTCTAGGGGACCATTATTGAGCTCTTCTTCGTCCGCACCTGCTGGGCCTGGGGTAAGGCGTGGACAGGGTGTTGGGCCACCACCGGCTGGCCCTGATGCTCCCAGAGGCAGGAGCGTGGGGGCGGGCTGGAGGCCTGGCGCTGGGGCTCCGGGTCTTGGAGGTGGAAGCAGCACCCTCCCCCGGAAGTGCCCCAAGGGACCCAGGCTGGGCCCAAAGCAGCAAACGTCCTCCAGGCCAGCTCCCGGGAGGTGTGGCAGCGCGTCGTGGGCCCGCGGGCCCCCACGTGTGAGCACCTGTAGGGCTGCTGCCTTTTAATCTGACGCCAAGAGAGCGGAGAGGGTGCTGAGCTGCCAGCAAACCAGAGGCAGCAGGCAGGAAGGGGGGGGAGTTATCCGCAACCAGGATCAACAGGCTCACCCTGAATACCTGCAAACACCAGCTCCTCTCCCCAGCACACTGCTCGGTGCTGGGCCGGCAGATGCTCCCACCCAAGGTCCACTTGTGGCGAAGACCATGTGGCCCCTGCCGTGGTGGCCTCTGCCATGGCCTGTGGGCTCTGGGTGCACCTGGAGGTGCGTCCCGCCCTCGCCTCTGCTCTCCCATAACCCCTGCGTGTGTACCAGCGGCTCTGGGGTGGAGGAGGGTCCCAGGGGGTCCCATGGGGGGACCCAGTGCTTAGAGGTCCCGCCCAGCCCCACTCTCCGGTCTTTCGGGGGTGACCCCGCACCCCGGTCCCCACCAAGCTTGTAACCAGGAGCTAGAAGTGTCATAACAGAACAGACCCCTTCCCTTTTCTTTCCTGTTCGGGTCAAAAGCAGAACTTACGCCCTGCTCTGGCTTCCGGGGTCACAGAGCGGGAGCTGGGAAGGTGCTTTCGGTTTACTCCACGCCCACCCACTTGTGAAAGCCCCGTGTTGCCCCAGAGCCCTCTGGGTCCCTAACATATTCCGCAGCCGGACGCCCCGCGAGGCCCACGCGTGCTCACTGCCCCCCCGGCTGACCCTGGCGCCGCCGGGCCCAGTCGGCCTCAAGATAGCACCCCACTTCGGAGGCAGAGGCTGCTCCCAGTAGAGGTCAGGGAGCCCCCGCCCCAGGCACCCCAGCTGTGCACGTAGCCGGCGGGGGGGGGGGGCAGTCTCGCCAGGGGTGGGGAAGGCCCTCCAAAAGCAGCTCGATGCCCTTTCCTGTGGCCATGGACCCCAAACAGTCACAGCAACCACAGGCAAACCCCGGCCCTCGCCTGCGGAAACCGGGGCCCCGGCAGCGGCAGGATGCGGACCCGGTGCCGCTCACAGCTGGAGCATCCTCCCACGCGGTGGCGAGAGCACCTTGGTTATGGCGAGAAGACCCACAGGCCACGGGAGGGGTGTCGCCGCTCTCTCTTCCCCCTTAAGCACTGGGACTCCCGCTGTGCCCGGCTCCGCCCCAGCCCCAGTGCCCACGGCCCCTCGGGGGCAGGACGCCTGCACACGCAGTGGCTCTGGGAGCTCGGAGTGCGGAGCCTGCAGCCAGCCCTCCTCTCGGCCCCGGGCAGGGGTGCCAGTGGATATGCCCGGCGGCCAGGACTGGCCATCAGAGGCCCCGATGCCGCAACCATCATGGCGGGGCCTCACAGACCAAGGCCTCCTCTGGGTGTCGTCCTGGGGCCCGGCCCCCTGGACGGCGCAGGGCCGTGCCCGTGCCCGGGTCCCCGGCTGCCCCAGCGGCGTAGTCTGCCTCGGCTCCCTCTGCGTGCCCGGAAGGGCTTGCGGGCCTGGTCCCGCTCTGGGGGAGGGCAGGCTCGGGCCGCCCCCGTGAATGTGAGGCCCCGACTCGGCTGGGACAGCTGGTCTGAGAGCAGGGAGGAGGGCGCGGGCTCCAGCTGGGCCACCCGAGCCCAGACCTGTGGCACCCTCCCTGCCACCCCGACGGCCCCGAGGCTGCACTCTCCCCAGATCTAAGGGCAGCCCCGCCCCAGGACTCAAGGTGCAAAACCCCAAGTCGAGGTGGCTTGAGAAACCCAAGGCCCCACGGGCCTGTGAGGACGTTGCGTCAGAGCTACCCTTGAGCCTGACCCTGCCCGGCAGGGGGCTGCTGGCGCGACCGAGTGCGACTGCAGGAAGTGGCGCATCCCCGCGGACCCCGGGCACCCTGAGGATAACCCTTCACGATGAATAAAGCTCTGAGCGTCGGGGTCCGTCAGGGAACACCAGAAGAAAAATAGGATATATTCCTTCCAAATCCCACGCACTCCACAAAAGCCCATAGTCCCTATTTGGTAAAAGACAGAAGAGAAAGAGGAAACATCGAAAAAGAAAGAAAAGTTGAAGAGGCAGAGGGAGGCCCCATGTCCGAGGCAGGGTACGCTGCTGTCAGATGAGGCTTGCTGTCAAAGACGAAAGCTTTGCCGAAGTGCAGACCCTCAGACAAGGCCCTGCGGGGTCCCAGGACTCATCGAGCGTCAGGACTTTGCGTCAGAGCCTGCCCTTGACCGTTCAAGGTCAGGGTGCTGGTTTCCAAGAGGCACGGCCAGAAAGTGACAAGGAACAGAGATGCTGTCAGGAAAAGTTACAAGAGGGGAAGGCAGGGGTGCGGTATTCATCCCAGGAGCTGAGGGTGCAAGGCTGTTTCATGTAGAAAAAGGCCAGTGTTGACAATGGATCTAAAATAGGCATCAACCTTTTTAAACCAAAAGACAAAGTTAGGATGTGGTCGTTTCTGCTTTATGTAAAGACAAAATAGAATTGGACAGAAGCGGATTCCAGTGGGGGCTGGAACCCCTCCCCCCCACCCCCGCCCCAAGTCATGGAGTTTCCAGACAGATCAGAAGACAGGGCAGAGGGGACTGAGGAGGATGCCACCCACATATTCTCTGAACCCACACATTCTCGGCCCCAGGAGAATCCACTGCACGTGTTCGTCACTGCTCCGTTCACCACCCGTGAAGGCTGATGGCAGAAATTTTCAGGGCCACAGTTTCTGACCAAATGGAATAAAATGAGATGCCCCCCCCAACACACACATATTAATTAGAACCTTTAAAACACTCTGCTCAATATCCCTTAAGTCCAAGAGCAAATCAAATTTACACGTACAGACACTTCAGAAAAGAGACAGCACAACTTTCTCTGTTCAACGGGTCCCCGATGGAGAAAGAAGCCCGAGGCCCTAAATGCTTTTCTGCCTGATGGAAGGGAATGATGATAAACGTGCAGGATGGAAAGTTCAGACGTGAGAGAAAGAGCCACAAAGCTCAGGAGATAAGGGAAGGGAGGTGGGAAATACACAGACAACAGAAAAAGTCGATGAATCCGAAAACAAACAAAAAAGCTAAAATTGATAAATACATCGAAAATCGTTTCTTTGGAAAAAGCAATAAAATGGGTCATCTGGAAGACAGCATGTATGGCAGTCGCCAGGGAGCTTAGGGAAGGAAAAGGCAAGGCAGCAGTGAGCTGTGCACTGGCCTGTAAAATGCATCCAGAGCTTCGGGGACAGAGTCTGTGTGACCCTGGCCCTCGGGCCGGTGGCCGGGGGGAGGGAAGTGAGCAGCGGCCTCCGGCCTCAAAGGCACCAGGCAGAGCACGTTCCCGGGAAGGCACGCGCTGTGGCAGTGCCCCCTCACACCACGGGACCCGTGAACCCAGGTTTAGCAAATAGAAATGATAAAAGCAAAAGAAGAATGTGTATCTCAGAGTAAGGACACTCAGCGTCAAAACTAAGGGAGAAAATACCAAGAGGATAGACTCAGACACCCTGGTGGTCCAGTGGTT